ATGCCGATACCCAGAACCGCATAACTCGGAGTTTTTGTCCAAATTGGCGTAGTAGATGTAAGAGGATGTTAATGCCAGCAGATGTCTTACACTGTGGAGTCCAGAGAGCAGCGATGTTGTGATTCGGCTAATGCTACCATTTCTTGAGAATCAGTTACAAATGAATATCGACAAAGACGCAAATGAAGGTTTTGTTGCATACTATTTTTGGACGCATACACGGATTAGTTCTAACGGCCTAGGTCATCTTGAATAAGTATTCTGAAGTCACGTTCATGAAGGTGTCATGCGTGCCGGAGCTTCCGATGTAATTCCACTAGTTCGCTATAGTTAGTCGCCTTGAACTGGAAAAGACCCTTCGTCAACTGTTCATTAGCGTTTGGAGGAAATTGCGATTGCCTTGGCTTTTAACCGCACGTGATCTCCTAACATCCTCTGCGACAAACAGAATATTTGGCGTGGTATTTCACGCTGGTCATTGATGTAGACCAAGACCAAGCACGGTCCAAGCATAGAAATCTGTGGGGCACCAGCTTCTCCCCGAAACCGGTCGGTAAATGATGCCCGAAAATGCTGACAAAGGAGGCTGTCAATACGCACATGACAGAAGTTCGGATTCTACAGCTATGAAGAGTGTAAAGTGGACTGCGAGGATCTATGTAGACGAAGGCTTTGGAAAAGTCAAGACTGATGGCGCAGGTCTTGGTAGTACCATTAACACTATCGTCTAGCGATTTGCGGATTAATAATTCTTAATCGACTTTGTCGGAATTCGTGTCGTTGTGACACTATGAAATGGCATAATTTTAAATGGTTTACCAACGCTTCCAAGTCGAGTGCTGCCATCATCCTTGATGGCAAATTGAGCATGGTCTCTGGAGGATTATTTTCAGAGCTTGCACAGCCGATGCTTTTAAGAAATAGGGTATACTATACTTACACTTTAACTAGATCTTCTTAACCCCCATAACATTTATTCTACTTTATTCATTTGGTCAGTTCTGTTATTCTACTGCATATTCCGTGTTAATTTTGTGTGTTTATCTTTCTTCAAATCCTGTGTTGATTGTTTGGTATCCCCTGTATGGCTGCACATGCTGTGAATGTGGAAAATGTGCCTTCATGTATAACACCCTCCACCTTGGTTATGGATTCCAGGAGACTGTGGATAGTTGCTGGGGGGGATGAGGTGCACTGTCCATGTAGCCGTGCTAGGCTCAAAGAGTAGTTCCATCCAGTGTTGAGAGGAGTACGGCGCTTCCACCGCCTTGTGTACGTCTGGTACGCATGATTTTCAAATTGCATCTACAGGTACTTTGCTAAGATACATTTTAAAAGAGAGTGGGCCGTCTCCGTTGATGAAATGTGGCTCGCATCCACATGCCTCCCGATCTTATTGCTTCGGGATTACACCGGACATGGGGGTACATGGATGGAGATGTCCGTGGAACAGCGCAAGCTACCATCGGTCCCTAGGTGGGCGAAAGTATCCATTGGCAGTCCTATGGAGTCCGAAGTGACATGCAACTCCTGATTTGGCAGCCGCCAACCAGTACTATCCTAATTCCACATAGTAGTGACCTACCGTTCGTGGAATAGGCGTTTAAAGAATCATGATAGGTGTTGGGCGAATTTCAATCTACGAGCTTCTTTGCTTAACGCAGTAAGAAAATATAGCTTGCGATAGGTTGACAGTACGATTGCTCTCGTTAGTCGCTATGCAATACAGGCAAAACAAAAGACGCAATAAATACGGTCCACACTTAGGAACATAGATAAGTAGATAAAATTGCTGTGAATGACTTTATCAGTTCCAAGGCAATTTAATTGATTACCTCAGTTGTTTCTGGGCACAGAGCCCGGGACAATGCAACCTTATCAATAGCGCCTCGTCAATTGCCAACAACGTCAGATTCCTGTTGCTCAATAGACCTTTGAATGAATCTAATGGGTTCACCTGATGATGAGTCGTCATTGGTTGTTTGATGATAGACAAGGCAGGGTTCCGGTTAATCCTTTGCTCTGCTCCGCTTTGGTGAGACAGCAACTGCCTTTGCCACAATGGGAAGTGTTCTGCCACCCTTTGAGCCAGCCGGCGACCAGTCTTGCCGATGTAAGTTTCACCGCAACTGCAAGTGAACTGGTGGATGATGTTAGAGGCCGAAATGATTGGCGAGCTACTCGGACGGCTGTGGAGAGCAATCCTTTGTGTAGTGTGGATAAGTCGTAGTTGGGCGGTAGAGTAGGTGCGCATTAGAGCGGACCTGAGCTTGCTACCAACTTCATTTGCCACATGATCCCCCTTGAACTGTAAGAACAAATAAACATCCTTCTTCTCCGCTGTTTGTACTGACAGCTTCTTCTTGGGGGTGTGCTGTGGGTCTGAATGAATTTCTCCGGATACCCATTGGATAGCAGTGTCCGGTATAAAAACTCTTCTTCAGCCTTGAGCAATTCCGGACTGCAAATCCGCCTGGCCCTGTAGAAGAGAGTTTTACGAGACCGCGCTTATATGAAACCGGGGCGAAGCTGGAAAAATGTATGTATTGTCCCCCCCCGGTCGTTTTTCTGTCCACAGTGCGCTGCAGTGTGTCATCGGTCCTTCTCCTGATGTGCACGTGTCTTTTTTAAAGCACTTCGCTTGTTTATATAGGTTACGAAACAGAATCTTAGCTGGGACGAAAGCTCAGTTTGTAGTAGACCTGTCCTGAAGTGCACTGTTGAGATTAAGCAATGCCGAAGACTGTCCAAGCAAAGCGATCGTCATCAAATACCAAAACAAGCCGAAACGACCCCCTACTCTACAGGTTAGGAGCAACACAACACCACTCCTTCAGGTAACTATCTAAGGCTGTTGAGACCGCTATACGGCTGGAGACCAAGAACTTTGATGTCTGCACCAACCATACTTTTACACCTTCTTTATGCCGTCACATGAGCAGTTGCACAGAAGTGTATGGAAACACAAAACGACTCAAAGTTGCTCCTGCTTAGGTGTTACTCCAGCGCATTAAGAAAGTAGCTGCAAGTTCTAAGGAGTATTCTTGTCCACCAGCAATTGGAATAATGGTGTGTTCATGGATAGTTAGTGGATTGACCCATGTTGGGAACAAATCTAAGCGGATTAAATAAGATAATTTGAATCAGAATCAGAAGACAGGTATACTTTAAAACCATGCAGCATATATAACGCGTTGAGGATAACAGCACTCGGTATCAGGCAGTCAAAGTTATGAAAGGAACAACGAAACGAACGTTTGGTACTGTGCCGGGAAAGCGTGAGAAATTGCAGAGGACGCAATAGGGATTAACTATTCAGAACGAAGGAACCGGATCAAGCAATTGTACTGATCAGCTAGTCGGGAATAAACCGAACAGTATCTGACCCTGATCGCCCCAAGTATAGTGATCCGTCTACACCGATTCGCCGACTGGTTGACTACACGAGTCAGTTCAGCACCTAACGGATTGGCTGAAGAACTTCGCACGTTTTTGTCCATCGCAGTGTTGTTTCTGTTTACGGAAGTACTGCGGTGCGTCCTGCGGTACCCAAATTATTGCTTCCATCAGACTAATTAAAGCCATTGTTCTTGTGGAATCCCGTTTGCAACACAGTCAAGCAACAAAGATAAACACCATTCAACAACTATACTAATCACTTATGTTATAGAAGCAGATTTAGGTATCTCGGGTTGTTCGCTAGTTAGACAAACTGTCCGCTGAGTTTGGTAATATCACTGCAAATAAGTCCTCCTTATAAACTAACTAATAACTTATTTTGAAAGCGTTTTATGGACATGGGTGCTTTACCAAGTCCAAGCGCATCTTCAGCTGTCAAATATTAAGTGCTCTTGCTCCAATAAGCCATCCAAATTTTCGGCATAATCAGCGGACAAGTGGCCGTATCAACACTAGTAAACTAATAAAAACATTGAATCGATATAGGACGTCAGGCATCTTTGGCAAAGCTTCAGGGCTTGCTTAAATACCTCGGAAATCTTTTACGTCTTTCTCTACTTCACCCATGTTATGGTATCCCCAGTAGTCCCATTTGACATCCTTGCAGTAAAACGCCCGGAAGTCTACTTGACAACGCATAGTATATGAGTTGTCAATTTGATAAACAAGGTCTTAACAGACCAAATCAACCCTCCCCAATCTATTCAAGTACAAACAACTTCCAATTTTACTTTACGCAAAGCCTACACCTCCATGCTGGTAGTAGCTGAAGGTGAAAGCGTAATAGTCGTTTTAACTGGTCATTCATTACGAACCACGCTTCTTTCGCTTCAGAGGTGCAACAGCTTTGAGACCCCAGTTTTACCCCTAACATTACAACCCGTATCGTGCCAAGATGATTTTCTAGAAGACTTGATTTTCCATTAATTTCACGTGTTTACCGAACCCTAAGACGCTTAACTATTTCGGAGTCAGTCTCCGCAACACAGCCTAGCGACAACTTGAAGTCATTCGCGTTTTCATTATTATCATCAACTCTAATATCGTGCATATGTTATTTGCCCTGCTTATGGACTGTAAGTCAAATACGATCACATTCCACAGAAATGCATGCCATTGTCAACCCCGCACTTCTTCACAGTAGTCATCTGACAAGCGCGTCTTAAGCATTCACGATATTCTTCTCCCTCCATATCTCCCGTGCTCCATCCTGATATTTTCTACCCACCTGGAGGCACGCATTACACGTGAGCCAGCATAGTAAATTACATTACAAGTCATGTATCATCCACTCTCACATCTATCTGTCCCTGTGGTATGAATTCCAGAAAAGAGTCTCAAATGTGCAGCAGCGCCATCATTCATGTTGGTGAGAGTCAAGTGCTTCGGCTGTCTTGACGTGCACTAGATACCGTACAACGTTAGTACGTATCGATCATTTACTGCAACATGGAAGAATCATTTAACCGACAATTTTAATGAAGAACATACGCTCTGGTGCTAGTGTTCACCAGCGTTGAACCTGTGCTGTTGTCGACGAATCAGCGTAATCCATCCACCGAGATTTTAGACTAAAGAAGAGGTTAGAAAGAGAGAAATATTGCTTCTGTACACGGGATTCAATAACTCACCGTGCAATCACTGCGTTGAACGCTCGTGAGGTTATGTGCACGTGAAATCTGAAGTGAGGTATATCACAGAAGTACGCATGGGTACTATTAAAACGGACATTCCAACTGACCAAGCCGGTCGTGCGTCTTTAGTTTTTTGGTTAGAGACCCCTAGTACCGTGACAGTCACGGTACTGACGTAACCTACCTACATAGGCTATTTAAGTTCACACAATAACTGAAAAAGAAACCAGTTAACGATGGTTTGTTTAAAGCACTATAGTCACCTTAAGATTTAGCAACGATGATAGACAACATTGCATGTTTCATAACCCACATCAGTACGATACAATCAAACAGACTACATCTGCATCTTTGAAGCAAAGCAAGGAAGGATTCGTGAAACCATTGGTATTTTCAAAGCAAAACATTAACTTATTCCGATGGATTGCACTAGTTTACTTTAGTTAGCGCGCACCGGGAAAACAAACACGAGGCGAAGTGAAGGACAAAGGTAGCCCGTTCTAATTAAATCAGAGCGATAACTACGGGAGACGATTGAATTGCCCTCGCGCTTCTTCTGGGAAATACATCGTAGCCGTCTTGGTTATTAAATTAGGCGGAGCAAGGGAATGAGGTCCATGTGAGCAGAAACAGAGTCCAGTTGTTTATTAATAGTTCATTAGATGTACTCATCGGGTGAATGTATTGCGACGTGCAATCTCAATTTTAACCCAGATTCACACTGAAATGTACACGACGCATGTCTCAAATGACTCTCCATTCAGTCTTTAACCACTGTGACAATCGTTACCCGTTGTGATCCGGTAACCAAAAGGGTAGAGGTTCCGGCTACTATTCCCGTGCTCGCGAGATCAAGGCTTACTATTTCTACGTGGTGTGATCAAACAAGATTGAAACACTTAGGGGAGTGTAGCTTTTTCGGGTGCGTACGTCCCAAGAGTCAAGTTCCGTTGCTGTGTATGCAAACTCGTCAATGCAACTGAATGTGATACAGGCGGGGCAACAACTTGTCCACAGTCATGTCTCTGGTCGCGAAGCACTGCCCAGTAAAATCACAAGACGTTATTGCTCAATCGCCAACTGAAAAGCTCCATTTAATCTATGCACAAGAAAGTCAGTGCTTAACAAGTTCACTGGAATGAGCAAAGTGAGTATTCCAAATCCAGGTAAAACTGCGTATGCCGAGAAAAGCACGCATTGATGCCTGCAAAGCACCTTTTAAGTGAAGGCACGTATATTCGCCCATTTAAATTTAATGAGCAGTCTGGTACACACTATATAGCGCGCTGCGCATCTCATCTAATGTGTTAAGCATTGACTTCCTCCCGGCTAATAGCCAAGTCAGATGTCGCTTAGAAAGGGGAAAGACGCCAGGAACACGTCAGTCACTCGGACACCTTCCGTCCGAAGTGAGACGATATATCATGTGACAGAGTTTCCGTAACAGAGAAACTGGAAAGCTTCATGAATGAAAATTCTTACAAAATACTGACAGCCAAGACAACCGCTATGAGTTAGCTGCCACCTTTTAGCTGGTCAAAGTGGCACATTCAGCCGACTAGAGGCTATTATAGTCAATCAAGCGTGGCCGCATCTGTCTGTACTAAATGTGCGACTGTAATTCTACACCTACTGTGACAACCAAGAACACCAAACAAGGGCCATAGGCAGAAAACCAATCGATCTTATATAACTTCGTTTTTGGAATGTGTACCACTCGGGATAAGTTCTTCATAGTAAGGAGAGCATGAAATGCCTGAATACTTTAAGATTAGCACTCGCAGATTTTCTAATTCGAAGGAATACAGGAATTATGTTCAGAATCGCGACTTGTTAGCCTCAGTTAAGTCCCGGGGCACATAATTTGGGACCCGAATTATTATTACAAATGCCCTTTGCAAATTGGTGAAATCACTGTATCAACTTTGGTATACCCCTATTTTCGATCCAACTGCAATCGACCTGTTTGCAGTTGCTTGGTCATATCTTATCAGGCGTATCTCGTGAAATATATCAAGATGAAGTATTATTATTATTATTATTATCCTTACACTATCACGTCACCTCTAACGCATGTGTGGTCACCAGAAATGTGCCCAACTAACCAAGTCTAGCCGTTTATATACCAGGCATAACAAATAAAAATTCCAAAAATTGTTGTGCAAGTAAGAAATAGCAAATTATCTAAAACTTCGTCAAGTTAAACCCAGCGAAATGGCAAAGCACAAAGCATGTAACGTTAGGTTCAAGGAATGGCAATCAGCTCAACATACACTGTGTCGTACAACTTCCAATGGCCAACTGTATCTACATTACTCCTGTCTCTATAAATACACTCTGCTTCTGATATCGAGTTTACTACAGCGATAAAGGGTAAGAGTTATCTGTTATAACAGAGGTCCGGTATTACTGCCGGTTTGTCAGTTGCCGAGTTCCGCATGTGATGCTCCCGGTTCGATTCTTGTAGAATGAAGAACACCGGCCTGCTTTAGTCAGGATTTCCATTCATGTGGGTTAGCGATGGTGTTTGCACTCTGCTCACACCTCAGTAGCTAACTTCATTTTTCGTGCAAACTGTTAACTTTATGAATTAATGTTTGGTTTGGACAATGAAATCGATTGTTTTCCCACACGGTTTTGTTTAAGAAAACGTAGAATTGTGGCTAAACACAAGCATGTTTAATGTAGAGATGAGAACTGAAGTTACGGTAAGCACAGTTACGCAACTTACTAGGCGAATCGTAGTCCTTATGGTTTAGTCAGTATGCCGTGGATGTATGTACAAGGTGCTTTGGATCTCTAGCAAGAGAACAGGATGCAACGGTAAGACTATGTGGACATTGATCTCAATGCCCAAAAATTCAGTCCTAGTAATGAGTAAGCTGCATTTGCCTCAGCTTTCTTCCGAGCTGGGGCATAAACACTCGGCATGTTCTCAAGTGTTCGGTGACATTCTGGTTACACAGAGTGCCATGTGATTGAGCGCTAGCAGATTGTTAGCCCTAATTCCGCTGCAGTTTAAGCAACAAAATCACAGCTTTTAGGGAGATAAGAATTGGTGGAATTTTCTACCTACAATATGCTTCATCCGGTGAGCTCAATTCCATCCTCACGCCACATCCACCTAACAAGAATTCAGCGGCTGCTAGCAATGTCTTGTGTCTGAAAAGCCAGCTACTCTGATGCTTAACAGTAACCTTTGAAGCCTGCTACTATTTGTATTAATAGAGTTCGAACACACTGGTACAGCAAAGTTCATTAAGATTATGCGGTTGCAGTGGCATAGGATTTAAAGGTCCAGTGAGCGCCACGCTTGGCTACAATAGTTCCACTCATTAGGAATAACATTCAGCATTACAAAGACGTTCCAGCCATTTACAATGCATCAAAATGCGATAAATGTGGAGGTAAAGCGATTTGATCACATTAACATTACACAAATACGTTCATAAAGACGATAAACATCGATCATGAGTAATACATGTGGCACAGATCGACAACGGGTCTTATAGGTGGCTAAAGGGGAAGGTTTTGTTGGAATTGTGGTTTATTTTTAAACTCATGCACACAGACTTGCTTTCTAATATCTGCTATATCTGTCATTTGCATAGACACCATTGTGTAAGCTGGGACGATGAGTTACTGAGCTGGCCCGTGGCTGCGAATAGGCCGCGTGGTTGCTCAAGTTTTCCATCCTCTGTAAGTACATATAAACTGGACCGTCATCACTGATTCTTGGACGTCCGGTCCTCGGATCAAAAGAAATATATGTGGTCCCTTCTAAGCCATCTAGGCTGTGGGCATGTCGTTGAGACACTCGTGGGCTATAACGTCTCGGTGGCGAAGGAGACTGCCTTCGTGGAGACGCCCTGGAATAGTATGTGGGTGCCGGTACTTGAACCGGAGAAACGATAGTTGGCGATCGATACTTGCTTGCCGGCCGAGGTGGACTAACTGCTTTTTGAGGTACCTGTAGCACTGGCGTTGGAGATTGCCTTGAAGGTTGATACAAGCCACTGCGCCGATCGTTCTCCTCTAGCGACTCCATACTTGTTTGAAAGTCAACATATACCAGCGATCGTCGCATATCAGGATTGTTTTCAACAGGAACCACTCCCAGAGCCTGACCTTCACGAATTCTGTCCTCAGGATCTTCCATCGCCTGTCTCACATATTTCTCGAATTTGTAAGCGTCATCCGCAGTTTTGCATTTGTAAACTTCATAGTATTTTAATCCACTCTTCTCAGAGTCCACACTGAGTACGAAGTATTCCGGTTTGGTTTTGCTCCTCTGGATCTCCTCGATTTCCCTGTAGTAAAGGTACGGGCGGAAGGGTGATCTGGTACCAAGCTTGTTTTTCTCCAACGTGAACTGATCTTCCAGCACATTCATCGTGCCCCGCGATTGGCGCTTTCGCAGGTTCCTTTCCATCACACGTTCAGCTGCATTCTTAGAGAATTGTTCCTGAGGTTTCAACGTTTCCCGGAACACGGTGGACACTGAAGTTTGGAAGTATAATTTCTGATTTGTTGCCATGTGAACAAGCTTCCCATTAATGTACTGTGACCCACGAGGGGCGCCTCCGGTGGATTTCTTTGCGCGTCTAGGCATTGTTTTCACAATGCCTTAGGGCCAACTGACACAGGTGCTTCTAACGAGTTCACTTATACGAATCACACTGTGAGCAGAATTGAACACATTAGCCAATCACAGATGCTGGCAAGGAGATGGTCCAATGTCTGCAAGCGGTACTCGGCATTTAACCCCGAACGGAGAACTGCACACACTGCACGTGACCTTAGTGCTGAGTGTTCGATGGCGATGAGTAAGAACATATGTTCTCAGAACATGATGAATGACGGAAAGTGTCCCAGTGTGGCAAGAACACTTGGCCTGTTTCAGGGCACACACATCATTTGACCTACTCACCAGTCACGTTGAACAGCAGGCAGAGAAAATGTCTTTATCATGGCGAAGTGAACTCGCACAGAAGGTCAATGGTAGTTCTGCCAAACTGTAAACAAACCGTTACGTTTCATCTAATTAGTGAAAGGGATTGACAGTTAAGAATTAGGTAAGTGCTCTAGCTTGATGATATCAAAAAAACCAGAAAATAGAGCCGCCTAACATGGCCACCTCTGCAGGTGAAATAAATAAATAAATAAATAAAGTTTTATTCCCGGCAGTGCGGGACACGCCTACGAAGGCATGATCACGATAATATAAACAGGTGTGGTCGATAATTGTATAAAAATATAGCATGATAACCAGTAACATACTGGATTTGTGTGTCTGTATAAATGTAAGCATATGTGTTAGTTGTCATGATGAGTGAACTTGTGAAGTGGGACTGAATTCGTGAGTTTGATTGCTGTGTTCGCTATCGTATGAAGGGATCAATGGAACTCTTCGAATTAGATGACATGTTGGAAGTGGGTATCCTCCGGAAGGGGAAGAGACAGGGCATTTATTTAGTGACGAGTCACATCCGCCACGTCGCAGTGTTGTTAAACGGACCTTTGTGGCTTGGTATAGGGAGAATGCTCGCCAGGCGAAAACCCCCCACGTCCTGCAGCACTGCCGCCGAACTCTTCGCAGGAACGGAATAAACCTGAACCACCCAGCTGGCACCACGTAGAGGTAGTTCGGCTAGCCAGCCTCTATAAGCTGACCGTTTATGGATTGAATTCTCCCCATGTAAGCCTTATGTATAGTGACCATCGCCGTAAGTTGTATGTTGACCACCTAGTCCACAACTATCACTACCGATCTAACCGCTATCAGTTGTCTATGTAAAGTTTTACTGTGCAGGGGTCACCGTTCATTTGTTCAAGCAACATGATGCGTGTAGCGGGATTTTGCAAGGAGAGCAGCGTTACAACAGTGGCGACAAAGTTTTCAATCGAACCCAGAAATGGCAGTCAGCTTCGAACAAATGCAGGAATTTTTGCAGCAACAGCAACTACAGTCCAAAAATCACAGGCCAGGTTTATTGAGATGCTGACGCAGAAACTGTCGATACAGTCAAGTCTAGGGTTAAGGATAAGTAAAATCGTACGCTTTCCAGAAAACCTGACACAGAAGAGCAGTGAATTCCATTGTGATGCGGCTGCTGGCGTAACATTCGCTTCCTGGTTTCACAAGTACGAAGGCATGTTTCGTGTGGGTTTCGCAAATGCGCATAAGAGAAGAAAATGTGACTGATGCTCTGGAAGCTGGGTGCGGCTGAACAAGAAAAGTTTACAAGTTTCATCTTGCCAAAGAAGAACACTGACCTATCCCTTGACGAAGTTGTCTCAGTCCTGTCACAGGTTGTTGATCGGTAGACATCCTTGTTCAACATCCGGTACAAGTGTCTCACGATGGCCAAGAATGAAGACAATGATTGGGTCGCCTACTTGAGCTGTGCACATCGTGAGTGCGAACGTTTACGGTTTCACAAGATGACCGGCGACCAGCACAAGTGTCTCAGTTACGTTTGCGGCTTGCAAGCAGACAAAGCTGCGGGCATACGAACAAGAAAACTGAGTAAGGTTGAACAGAATCCTAACACCACATTGCAGCATCTGACCGGTGAGTGCCAGAGAATATCAAACTTGAAGCATGATACCCCAATGATTCAGCAGTTATCCAGTACAAACGAGCATGATCTTGTTTGTATAGTCAACCGGACTCCCCAAAAAGCACCACCTCAAGTGAGTTCATCACATTCCATACCTCCCTCTGTTACTTGGACTTGTAAAGAATGGCAATTTGCTCGCCACTGTCCATTAAAGAATCACGTTTTCTGCCGATTTGGCAGAAGAGGCCGTAAAGAATCCTGTTGTTTGGTATGTGGTCCCATGGGACCAGAACGATCATCATGACTTTCAAGCTTAATGGCGTCAACTGGCGTAAGTACGCCATGGTGGAAATCAATGGCTGACAATTCAAGTTACAACTTGATCCTGCTTCAAATAACACTCTGATCTATAGCGACACGTGGCGAAGACTGGGGTGGTTAACCCTCGTAAACACGGCCCATACGCCACGAAATGTTTGATGAAGTGAAGTGCCAAGGCAATTCCGGGATCAACAAATTCATACAATGCGCTTCGCGACAGACCGATCGCAGCTAGAATAGCTGGGATTCGACTAGATGGAGGAGTTGAAATTGCTTATCAGCCATTAAACAGTGAATGTCAGCCACCGCTAATCAACCAGCCGTCAGAGTCATCGATACCAAGCCTGATGGCACAAAGCCAGATTATGAAGAGGAAAGGACAACATAAACATACCCTTCAACCTGGATGTTGCAGGGTAACCAGTGCTGTCCTGTACCTCAAGCAAGACTCTAAATCACTATTCAGACCAACGCGCCCTGTGCCGAACGCAAAGAAAGCAAAGCATTGCAGTTGTCATGTAGAAGAAAATCGGACAGACAGGGCCCGTCATTTCAAAATTGATGACATGGTGTACGCGCGAGACTTCCGAGGACAGAGGTGCTGGTTGCCAGGAAGAGTGATCCGCAGAAAAGTTCCAGTCATCTACGAGCCAATGGTAGGTAATGAGAAAAGGACCAGGCACGCTAATCTGCTGAGGCCGAGTTACAGCAACACTCAAAGTCCCTCAGAACCGCCATCCGCACTGTGGGACATGCTGCTAGACACGTTTGGTTTGGAAGACAAAGCCGAGCGGCTACGCGGATTCCAACAGGGGCTGCAAATAACAAATGAAGCAGAATGCAGGCAGACCCGAAAGCAGAGACAACCACAATGGCTACAAGTTGACCCCAAGACGAAAAGCTATGAACGAAGTCAAGTTCGAACGGTACGCAAGCAGATTCAATACAAAAAGGAAGGAATTCGAAGGCCGTAACTTAAGAGCGCAACACGGTTTTGAGACGTAAAGTGGGCCAGAAACAAGTCAGGCGAAAAGTTGATAAAATCTATCGGTCATCATGACACAGGTTGCTACGCGACAAGCGTGAGTGAGTGCGACTACAGCTGGCCAGTGCGGACCGCTAGCAGGTCTATAATCTGTCCAGACAACTGGCGTGAGTCAGCTCAGAAACGTGAAGTCGGATACGATGACATGATAACATTCACCGTGTTCCGTTCCTAATACATATCGGTCTAAAAGGCCTCGGTGTTGCGTTTCTTGTCCGGCTGGGCTGGCAGCGCAAAGAGCGGGAGCGAGGGCCGCATTACAACAATGCTTCTGATCCACAACCACTGCACTTAACGGCTTCGCAGACGTCGAACGATACAGCATGTTCTCTGTGTGCATGTTTTCACGTGCTACTGACGCGCTCAACTGTATACACGCGCATCGGTATTCACCTCGTACAATGTGTCCCCACGGGTCCGCGTCCACAAATGGACCTCGACCGTTTTTTTGTAAAACCTTGCCACACACAAGCACGCATCAAGCCCACTTTAGAACACGTGCCTGCGCACTGCACAGGTCACAATCAGGAGTTTGAGAGTCTTTCTATCTATTAATTAACCGGTTTTAAGCTAACCGGTTCAACGACTATTCATTCCCCTCTTGCGTTCTAGGAACACTGACATTTATGTTCACTGGTCGTTAGACGTTATTCCACGCTATTCGTTGTCTGCCCGAGAGTGGAAACAATTAGGGTTTGCTGTTGTATGCAGCTGACTTTTTTTTAAAACACACTACACTTTTCCCATCAATTTGCATCCACAGCGCAGTCCTAATGACATTTAAGACTACTCGACATAGTCCATAAGGCATTCAGATTGCATCCTGTCTATCGACACACATATAAATCTGTACCGTTCGTTTTGACCAATGGCAAATCAGCCAGAAGCACTCGAACAAGTATACATCGAAGCTAGGCCCATGCGTGGTCAAACTCGTGCAAGCTTTAATTTAAGCACCGCTATTCGAACCAAAAACGTCCGCTCGTCTAGGTGTGTGATGTGTCCATACGCACTAGCAGTGGACGGTGTGGGGACGTGAGGTAAGTGTTGCTTCACAAACTGGTAAACTCACAAAACCGGGGGCGCCGAGGTAAGGCGAACTCAGCACAGTCCCAGTATCAAGACAAACGCGAAAGCAGCTATGGACATGACCGACCACGGGGCGCGATCCATCGCTTCGTGAATGAAGTCTAAAAGGCCTCACAAACAGAGCCTGAGCTCACAAACGAGCTGCCGTTGTCGCCGAGGCAACGGGTAAAACACGAGTACTGAAGGACTAGAGAATTAATGTTCGCTTCGTAGTGTGAAATACGCTTTGAAGTAGGTCAAGTGCTTACCTCGTTTGGATGCCGTCTCGTTATATCAACAAGACGCTCTCTCTCACTTAGGAACGTAGGGCAAGCTACCGTTTAATCACAGCATCCAATTGTTACTAACCAACGTGAGGAGAACGATATCCGGCGCAACGGAAGGTCTACCATGTGTTCTATCTAGCCATTTATTTCATTCGTTTAAATACCGCATTGGTGACGGTTCCTCAGGAGTATCAGTATGTGGCCCACATACGAATCAAACAGGCGATACCTAAACAAAATAGACAAAACAGCTCACTGGCGGAAAGACATATTCACCAACGCAAGTTTGGGTATGGCAATTGAAAGGTGTTTGATTGCAGTCCTGAAA